ACATCAATATTTTCAACTAACTGAAATGAAAGCTAAATGAGTGAGAAAAAAATGACTCCTTCAGTTTTAAAATATTAAATTTTGAATCTAAGACTTAAGCCCTGAGCATTCTGATTTCAAATACTGTGTTGTTCTGATTTCAAATACCATACCTTGAACTTAACTCCTTTTCCATTAGCTCATTAAAGCCATCAATCCATGAATACATTTAAACTTAACAGTATATATTATAATGATGTGTTTATACATTTTACTGGTATTAAAGTAAGTTAATGGTTATGGCCACATTACTGAGATATATGTTGCATAATTTTAATGTTTATTGCAATATTAATAACATATGCAGAGAATTTTTATAATGGTAATTGCCATTTTACGAAGATGTATGAAGAAGTGTATAGGCTACAGAATTAATAAATATGCTTGAATCAAACACTGTTACAATGCATATTCAAGAGAAGTGTTTCTTACATAGTTATGGATTGCAAAAGTAATTTTACTGGAATGCTGTATTACCTGTTAAATTTAAATTCCTAATAGTATAGAGAATATATCTTTACATCATTTTGTGTCTCAACATCTCTCTGTCTCAGTTCATGTGCTGGAATTGTATGTTATTATGGGCCATTGAGTTAAAACGGACTCATAGCTGATCCTCCTGTGAGTTTCCGAGGCTGGAAATCACAGTAGAAGATATTTCCCATCTTTTCCCTCACAAAGCAGCTAGTGGCATCTAACTGCCTGTCTTTGAGCAGAATAACTTCTCATCACTAGGCTAAATGAGCTCTTTTGTACTGTACTAGTCTTCTTAAAACGTTACCTTATGTCAGCTCCAAGTTTTTTAGTTCAGCAACTACAAGAAAGTAAGTTCATTTCTGTAAATTATTATAAGCCATTCATGACTTGGTTTAACTCTAAATTTTACTTGGTCTTCCAATTTTCTCCCTTTTATTACATACAACCTATTTACTCATTATGCATAATCCTAGTTAGATGTTTCTTCTAAATGACTAATGCATTTCTGTGATGCAATGGGTTTGCTGTCCAAACTGGCTTCCTAGGTACATTGCTTTGACTTTATTCATACTGTGTGGGAACATGCAAATAGAGTATGTGGAAAAGTAATATTGTAATTGGTTAGTGTTATTATCCTCACTAGACTTATGTTAAGCATTTGTAGATCCCTATGATTTACTGCCTCTGAAAATCTGCTGTAGGATCATCTATGGGTCAGTTCCAACCTGATGATGCATAACAATAATGACAGCAGTGGGCAAAGGTCAAAATAGCACCTGGGCAATTAAGGGCAGTTTCTTTTTATAGGGATTTTAGGGAAAACTAGGGAAGATGGTATTTTGCTTGGAATGTGAGACTATTAGTTAACTTGCGTATGGGTTTCAGAGTCTTATCAAGATCCACTGTTTGCTCTGGCTTCTGGTTTGGTCTATTCTCTAGTCACTTTAGACATCATCAGAACTCCTCAAAGAGTGATCAAGCCTCGTGGCAACTGCCACATTCTTCCTCCAATCATGAGTAAGCTTCAGGAGTTGTGTGAGGACACTTCAATGATTATTTAACTCTGTAATAGAGCAAATAGGGCCCTGGGAGGAAGAGTTAATGTTAGAAATGGTAGAAATATATGATGCAGTATAGAAACGTATCTAATTTCATGAGAATCAGCTTTGTACTGTAGATGCTAAAGATCGTACTTTTTCATTTGTTGATTTAGAGGAAGTCAGACATCTAAGGACAGCCTTTACTGATGTACAAGGTTAAATAGTCCCTGTTCACCTCATCCACAATTGAGTCCCAAAAGGTCAGGTTTGCTTTCCGTAGATATGACGACATTTGAGGTCTAGTAAAAAGGGAGTTGCTTTGCAAAACCAAAATATTCCAGTTGCTCTGTGGGAGAAAAATGGGCAGTCTTCTTCTCTGGAATTTGTAGCCTTTGAAAACCCAGTAGAAAGGGTCAGCTATGAGGCAGTTGCAACTTGATAGTCATGAGTTTATAGATTATTTTTTTCTGCCTTTAACTTATTGAAGTTATGCAACCTGTTTATGACCTCTTCATATCTTATCAACAAATATAGTCCGTATTTACTGTTATTGTTGCTATTGCAAAATGTTGTCCAGTTGAGTAGGACTCATAGAGACAGTATGAACAACAGACCTGAACCGTATCTTATCCTGTGTCATTCTTATCGCTTCTGACATACTTGAGCCCATTTGTGCACAGATATTGTGTTAATCCATCTGACTGAGGGACAAACAGATACATATTGGAGAAAGAATAGCCAGAGTGCTCCTTGGAGGCAAAGATGACCAAATCTTGTCTCACATACTCTGGTTATGTTTTCAGGGGAGGCTGCTCATTCGATAGGGAAAGGGAGATCATGCTTGGAAAGGTGCAGGATAGTGTAAAAAAGACCCTAAATCAGATGGATTTACTTTAGCCAGTTCTTCTAAGTAATGTTTTACCAGTATGTATTTTTAATAGTTAATATGATAAATATAATTGAATTTTGTGTATTATATGGATATAAAATTGAAATTTTAATTTATTATTTGTAAATTATATTCAGTAGTCTATTTACTGATGATATTCTATAATATCTTCTTTGATTACTTCAATCTATAATATTTGCTTTGATTATTTCTTTTGAATTTTTTATTCTTTGGATGTACTTGTGTTAGTCCATTGTGTTAGTATTAGTTTCCATGGTATAGCGCTCTAACTTGTACAATCTAGTGCTTCATGGAAATTATGGTAGAGGACATAAGCATATTAATAGTTATTCACTTAAATAGATAAATGTTTATAAATTCTTGCCGTTAAAAGTGTGTTATGTAGAGCTTGGTGAACATACTTTATTAAAATAATTAATTCCATTGGTATTTGTATATGTCATCAATTGAGATTTGTTTTGTAAATTAGAGGATCAAGGAAAACTTTCAATGAGGCTTTTTTTTTAATAACAGCTATAACAATGAACTGAAGCATATGAACAATAGTGAAGATGATACAAGGCCAAACAATATTTTATTCCCTAATGCATGAGGTCATCATTGAGGTAGAGCTCATTCAAGAGCAACAAACTCATTAATTAGGAACTTTAAATGCTGATGGGCAAAGATGTTACTTTAAAGACTAAGATATGCTTTGCCCAAATAAGGGTATTTTCAATGATCTCATATACATGTGAAAGTATAAATACCCAAGACTGGACAAGAATTGATGCCTTTGAACTATTGTATTGACAAAGCAATGAAGAGATTGAGATTGTTCACAGCTTTAGTTTGCTTGGCTCCACAGTCAGCACTCTCTGCACCAGTAGCCAGGAAATGAAAAGGCGCATTGCCATGGGAATGTCCATTGTTAGGGACATCTCCAAAGTACTGAAGAGCAATGGTGTCTCTCTGGAGATTAAGGTACGTTTGATACAGCCCATGGTCTTCACAATCACTTGTTATGCATCAGAGAGTTGGACAATGACCAAGGAGGATAGAAAGAGAATTGATGTCTTTGAGCTGCAGTGATGGAGAAGAGTATTGAGGGTACCATGGACTGCTAGGGAAACAGATTCATCCTGGAAAGGGTTAAACTGGGCAGCTCCTTGGAGGCAAGGATTCTAAGGCTCCATCTAGCATATTTTGGACATGTTGTAAGGAGGGACTGGTCCTTGGAGAGGGACATCATGCTTGGTAGGGTGGAGGGAGAGTGCAGGAGGGGAAGGCCCTCTATGAGGTGGATTGATTCAGTGACTGGGGTAATTGGGATGGGTGTGTCAAAGACAGTGC